TGTCTGAGTGTGTGTGTGTGTATGTGTCTGTGAGTGTGTGTGTCTGTAAGTGTGTAAGTATGTGTGTGTGTCAGTAAGTGTATGTGGAGGAAAGACGAGACAGGGGGGATATGATAGAAACATTTAAATACATAAAGTGAATCAACACAGTAAAGGAGGAGACTATATTTAAAAGAAGAAAAACTACCACAACAAGAGGATATAGTCTTAAATTAGAGGGACAAAGGTTTAAAAATAATATCAGGAAGTATTACTTTACTGAGAGGGTAGTGGATGCATGGAATAGCCTTCCAGTTGAAGTGGTAGAGGTAAACACAGTAAAGGAGTTTAAGCATGTGTGGGATAGGCATAAGGCTATCCTAGCTATAGGATAGGGCCAGGGACTAGGGAAAGTGTTTGGAGGATTGGGCAGACTAGATGGGCCGAATGGTTCTTATCTGCCGTCACATTCTATGTTTCTATGTTTCTTTGTTCGCTCTGATCTGCTCCCTCGCGCTCTGTTTTCTGATGCCGGCAGCCGGAATATGATGTCGGCATCAGTAGACAGCCCGCTAGGGAGCAGAAAAGAGAGAACACAGCTCCCACGCCGCGTCTGAAGCCCCACTGGACCCCAGGGACAGATCCACACTAGCACTTCGGGTAGGGAGGCTGGGTGGACATTATTAATAATTTGTGTGTGTATGTGTGTGTCTCAATGTGTTTGTGTCTGTAAGTGTATGTGTGTCTGTAAGTGTGTAAGTATGTGTGTGTGTCTGTAAGTGTATGTGTCTGAATGTGTATGTGTCTGTACTTGTTTGTGTGTGTGTGTAAGTGTATGTGTCTGTATGTGTATGTCTGAATGTGTATGTGTTTGTAAGTGTATGTGTGTGTATGTGTTTGTCTGTGAGTGTGTGTGTCTGTAAGTGTGTAAGTATGTGTGTGTGTCTGTAAGTGTATGTGTCTGAATGTGTATATGTCTGTACGTGTATGTGTGTAAGTGTATGTGTCTGTATGTGTATGTCTGAAAGTGTATGTGTTTGTAAGTGTATGTGTGTGTCTGAGTGTGTCTGAGTGTGTGTGTGTGTATGTGTCTGTGAGTG